ACTGCAGCTGTGCCCCCATGCCCATGAGTGAGGCACTTTACAGGCACAGCTGTTTCCCAGACTCAGACCGTGGACTGATTTGGGGTGTCCCAATGGAAAAAGTACAGGCAGGGGATCATGACTGGGAATCTCAGGATGTGGAACAGGATGATGGGTTATGGCCAGCATCACCACCCTCAGCACTAGTGATGATAGTTTCCTCCCTCCAACTAATTATTTGCCCCTGCAGCCCATCTGAAAACTGTGAGAGCTCTCGAGTGGTGACCAAGGCCAGCCCCCTGGATGCTGCAGGGGAAGTTGATGCAGAGGACACTGACAACATACTTGGGGTGGAGGTTGCCAGTGTGGGAGACCACCATCATATCCCACTTTCTGGGTTCAGTGTGGCCAGTCTTCCCATCTGCCCATGTCAATGAGCATGATGCATTTGGGTTCCCCTCATGTCCCCAGACATCAGGCCCAGGTAATGGGGGTGTAACAGTGGTTGCTCGAGACATGGAGAAATGCAGGAATGGTGGGTAATATCGGTGCCTCTTTGGCAGAGGCAAGAGGCAGCCCTCAAGGCAGTGACACAAGCTACCAAGGTAGAAAGGCAGTGCTTTTGGCAGGAACAGGAAAGGCAAGCCCCACAGCCAGCAGTCAGAGGAGAGAAGGGAACCCCAAGTGCTGGACTAAGTGAGGTGGTTGAGTCAGAGAGGAGGGAGGGGAACCTCAAGTCAGAGACTCAACCAACCCAGAAAGAAAGTGGGGTGCTTTTGGCAGGAGCAGTAAAGACGAGCCCCACAGCCAGCAGTCAGAGGAGAGAGGCAACCCCCCCAGACAAGAGGCCAAAAAGTGCTGGGCTGAGTGAGATGGTTTAGTGGCAGAAGAGAGAGGGAACCTCAAGTCAGATGCTCAACCAACCCAGGAAGAAGGGGAGGGGGGTGCTTTTGGCAGGAGCAGTAAAGGCAAGTCCCACAGCCAGCAGGCAGAGGAGAGAAGGGAGCCCCAAGACAGGAGCCCCAAAAGTGCTGGGCTGAGTGGAGTTGTTCAGTGGGAGAGGTGAGAGTGAATCCCAAGTCAGAGACTCATCCAACCCAGGAGAAAGGGGGGGGGGGTCTTTTTGCAGGAGAAGTAAAGGCAACCCCCACAACTAGCAGGCAGAGGAGAGAGGGGAACCCCAAGACAGGGAACCCAAAAATGTGGGACTGAGTGGCGTGGTTCTGTGGCAGAGATGCTTTTGGCAGGAGCTATAAAGGCAAGCCCCACAGCCAGCAGTCAGACGAGAGAGGCAACCCCCAAGACAGGAGCCCCAAAAGTGCTGGGCTGAGTGAGGTGGTTCAGTCGGAGAGGAGAGAAGGGAACCCCATGTCAGAGACTCAACCAACCCAGGAAGAAGGGGGGTGCTTTTGGCAGAGCAGTAAAGGCAAGCCTCATAGCCAGCAGTCAGAGGAGAGGGGGAACCCCCAAGACAGGAGCACAGAAAAGTGCTGGGCTGAGTGAGGTGGTTCGGTCGGAGAGGAGATGTCAGAATGTGGGGTCGATTGGGGTCGACGGGAAGAGGGCCAGGCTCCAGGGCAGCCGATTTAGGGTCAGAGGATCTTGGCAAGGCCTCAGACTGAAGGGTCAGAGGGGGTTTCGACCCCTGGGTCTTCTCATCTCCTTCTCCTCTCCTCTATTCTGGACATCCTCCCTCCTCTCTCTTACAGACAGGGTCCGTTGTCATAGAGGATTGAGGATGTTCCTCCTCGGCCTGTGAATCTCTCCCCCTTAAATCTCTGCACCCCACACCTGCCTCTCCCCCTTCCCTATAGAGGAGAGTGGCCACAGAAGTAGCCAATTCTCCAATTCCATTAATTCCACTCCATCCTTCCTCCTCTTGGTCTGGCCAGTGTTTTGGGGGATGTCATTTGCTTCCTCCATTTCGTCCTCCTTTGGCTGATGGCGTCCCTCTCGCTGGCCATATAGGTAAGATCCCCAGGCCTCTGGGATATCCCCTCTGGGGCCTTCTGTGTTCATCCTGTCATTGGAAGGTCGTGGCTCCCATTGTCCTCTTTTCCTCTCTCTCACCTGGGGGCGAGCCCACCCATCGGGATTGGCCCTGGTTTTTCATAACACCTCTTATGTTTGCTCCCAGCCTTTGACCTGATCCCTGGGCTCCTGGGCTCTTGGCTGTGAGTCCAGGAGGGGGGGGTTGGCCAGCCCCCTTCTGACAGGAGAGACGGAAACCCCAAGTCAGAGACCTAACCAACCCAGGAAGACGGGGGTGTGTGTGCTTTTGGCAGGAGCAGAAATGGAAGCCCCACAGTCAGCAAGCAGAGAAAGGAGCAGCTTGGAGAACCCACAAACGTGGTGGGGTAACTTGGGTGTTTGACTTGCAAAGGAAACAGGTAACCTCTAAGTCATAACAAAAAGATGTAAAAACAAAAAACAAAAATCCTACCCAATCACATCAAAGAAAGAGACAGGAGGGAAAAAGGAATTGTATCACTGGAACTGAGGGAAGGGAAAGAAGGTGGGAAAAAAAGAGATATGATGATGCTTTAGTGTGGCAGTTTCTATTGTGGCCAGGAGATTCAGGAGGTTTCTCTACCCACCAACCCCAGTAATTTTTTCCCCTACCCCAGGCCCATCAAGAGATTTTTTTTGCCCACGCAAGGAGAACTAGACTCGCAAACACCTGACGGGAACAAAGGACAGGAGCGCACCTCCAGTGATTATATACACACACCACTTCCATTCCAAGGGAGGTGGATGGACGTCTCTCATTGGAAATTGGAATTGCCTGTCAGCCATGGATGGTCACTATTTGTCTCGCGATGGCTGGAAAATCCCACCCACATCCACTTTTCCACATGACACTCCATGGGCAGGGTCTCTTTTCCGAGAGTGCATGAGAGCTTCCAAGCCAGGCTGAGAAGCTCGGAGGCCTTGGGGCCCGAATACGTGACATTCAAGTTGAGCCATCTGAGCCTCAAACCGGGCCATGTTCAGGCCAGATTTTGGCTTGACATTCAGGTCTATGCTTATTCCTAGTAGCAATGAACTAAAAGTACTTGATGGGGCTCTTTTAAAAAGTAATAAGATTGTGGTGCTCTTTAATCTAGAAGGGGCATGTTAGAATGGAAACATGAAGGTAATTTGGGAATGCAGTAATTTAAAAGGAGAGCAAGAGATTATGTGCTGACTGCAAATTAATATAAACATAGGTAGTCACTTGTGAGGATGTTATGTAGGAGGAAAGCCAGAAATCAGACTCCTGATGAATCCAAAAATAGTTATTGAAAGAGAATTTAATAAAAATGAAATATAAAACACATTAAAATTGAAGATGTTCTATGATATGGGCTCACACCCCTTACAACCGTTAAAGGAAGTGAGGTTATTCAGTGGAAAATATGGGGAGATTAGGGCAGTCAATTACAAATTTAGCCTTCTTATAGTAAGCAGGACTCAGGAGAAAAACCTGAAACTGCAACAGTGGCTGCCAATGTGGATGCAAGGGCAGATGGTGCTAAAACACCTGATACATTATAGTCCACTAGGGAGAGGATATCCCCAAAGGCTTATTGAAAATTGCTAAAATATTCATGAACCGTTACTCTTGTTTTGTTCTAACTAGCTATAGATGTTTTACCATGATGTGTTATTGTTATTGTTACTGAATATAGGGAA